ATAGAGGAATTCCCCACGGGTAATCGGGGATCGGGTCCCCATTGCCATCCCTATATTTGTCTATTTGGGTGTTTTAAAACTTCAAATTAACGGTGTATTGATGGGGGTTTAGTTGCCCAAAAAAAATAAAAATTTAAGACTCATATCAATAGTTTAGAACATTTAAGCGAATAAAAAATCTTTCAAGCCCCGATTGATAGTTAACTTATATTTCGTGTTTTTTGGAAAAAAAAACTCTATAATAAAACAAAAGTTCTCTTCACAAATCACATATGTATATAAACTCGTTGCCGTCTTTGTGGTTAGACGTGACCAGGTGCCGGGCCAAGGCCCGGCCCGGCCCGGCCCGCCAGGCCACGGGCCCTCCAACACACGGACCACGACCGGACCGCTAATGAACCGGTCGGAACCGCCGGTTCACGGGCCGGTACAACCCTTAAGAAAAACAAAAAATTTGGCCCGGCCCGGCCGGACAAAAATTAAAAAAATGGAACCGGGACCGAACCGTGGCCCTACGGTTCCGGTTCAACGAACAGGCCCTTAGGAGGCCGGTTCCGGGCCGGTGCCAGTGCCGGTTCGTGGGTCGGGCCACGGGCCGATTCGGCCCGTGGCTAGGGGTGTTCATGGTCCGGTTTTAAATGAAAAAAACCGTCAATCCGGACCGCGGATCGGTAAAATGGTCGGTTAAAAAAGCCTTAAAAAATTCAGTGGTTAATTTTTTAGAAAAATCCAGAATAACCGGTCCGGTTAACGGATTACCTGCGGCAAACCGCCGGTTTAACCGAACCGAACCGGTAAATATTAAAAAACTACAACAAATATATACATATATATATATATATTCAGTCATTCACTATGACCGACAAATACAATACATTCACTTTCACCTTTTGGCATTTTGTTGGCTTAATTTTGTAAGACACTATAACTTTTCACTTTTTCTCACCTTGTTTGGGTTCAATTTGCATAATTTAATCTTCATCATTTTTGTATTTTTATGTTTATTGGATGATATGTGTATTTTTATGCGTATGAGACGAATTGTGTATTTTTTATTTCATTATTATTGTTTGTCTTAATTTTTAGGCTCAAATAATCTTTTGGGCCCAAAATTGAAAAATAAAAGTTAAAGCCCCTAAAATGAAAAAAATAAAAATTGAAGGCCCAAAAACAAGGATTTGGGATTTAACTGGTTAACCGCCAAATCGGACCGTCCAATGCGATCCGGATTGTGGCCGGTTAAAAAATAAAACCGGTCTGGTTATGGACAAGAAAAAAAATTAACCGTTAGATTCGATTTGGTCATGATTTTGGCTAAAACCGGACCGTGAACACCCCTACCCGTGACCATGTCTATTTGTGGTGGCTCTACCTCTTTCTTCCCGCAATATTTTAACAGACTATCTGACAAAAAGTGACACCACCACAAAACCCACACAATCTCCACACAAAGCCACGCCCCCACAAAGCAAAGCAATCAGCCAACTAAGGAAACCCCTTCTACTTCCTAATCTAGCTCCGCCTAATGCTGCCTTATGCCACCGTCGACGCGGCGGAAGCCGCCCTCGGCCGACCCCTCACGGCGGCCGAGGCGCTCTGGCTAAGATACTCCGCCACCAAGTCCGACTACTTCCTCTACTGCCACAACATCATCTTCCTCTTCCTCATCTTCTCCATTGTCCCCTTTTACTACCTCTTTCTCGAGCACTTCTTCGGTAAATCCGTCGGACCTTACAAAATCCAGCCCAAGGTGAAGCTCTCGTTCCCCGATGCAATCCGCTGCTACAAATCGGTTATGCGCATGTTCTTTCTGATTGTGGGTCCCCTTCAGCTTGTCTCCTACCCCTCCGTCAAGGTTAATGCCCAGTTTTTCACTTCTCTATTTGTGTTGAATTTGTACACAAATCTGGTGAAATTTTGTTATTTTGATGTGGACTCTTTGAAATCCCCAAGTGATTGCGCTGGATGAGAAATGCTAGTGTACTGAATTTTGTTTTAACCATTTTGAATCGTTTTCATTTTTTCTTTGTTTTATTTTTCGGTGATTGAAGTTGATAGGAGTAAGGACGAGCTTGCCATTGCCTTCATTATGGGAAATCTTGCTGCAATTGGGGGTTTATTTCATCGTCGAGGACTACACAAACTATTGGATCCATAGGTTTCTGCACGGCAAGTGGGGGTACGAGAAAATTCACAAGGTTCATCATGAATACACAGCCCCAATCGGTTTTGCGGCGCCGTATGCTCACTGGGCAGAGGTTTTGATCCTCGGGATCCCATCTTTTCTTGGGCCCGCTATGGTCCCGGGCCATATCATTACTTTCTGGTTGTGGATTGCCTTGAGGCAGATTGAGGCGATTGAGACTCACAGTGGGTAATGCTTTTTGGCATGCTTAGTCGCTCGTGCTTTGATTTGATGCGTCGTTTGATTGATTTATGTGTCATATTTGTTTGCCTTGCTTTTGTTAATTTGACCAAATGATGGCTCAACAGTGGTATTTTCATCACTTGCTTTAACTGTATGCTTTCCGGATTCTCATTGATCCAGTGGAAAGTGATTAAGTAATAGAGATTAGAGGGATAATAATTGTGGATTAACTTTTGTGCACGGGTAGGAGGATTTAAAGGAGTGTCCATCTCCCCCTCCTCTCCTTTAATTGTTATATATTTTTTATACTTATTATTTTTTCCTTATTTTTGCTTGATCTTTTTAGTGTTTCATTTATTAGTTTCATTGTCGTTTACTACAGTTTGGTTTAATTACTGTTTCCTTTCATATAAGTTTGACATGGACTTCTTGGTTATCCCTAATGAGTTTACTCTGAAGACGGTGTTTGTCTAGTATCATGGAACACATCAATAGAATGTAAATGTTAGTATTGTTATCTTCTTACAACACCTTCAATGTTTTCCAAGTTGTAGCATGGGTAATAGAATGCTCCCTAAAGTTTTCCTATACCCAAAG